TGGCGTCGAACTAGGACGCCCTTTTTGATCTGTCATACCCAGAGAAGGGCCATTGGAATGGCAAAAAAATCAGACAAACCATTACGTTCTTGGTTTTCTTCCCCACCAAAAATATCGGACAACCCCATCTATTCCAATCTACTGGGGCCGTGTCCTCCCTGGCTTTCGTTGGTTTAATCCGCCATTGGGCGCATCTGTGTTCCGGTTCACCCCTTGATAAAAACACGTCAATTGTCTCAACTTTGCCGGAGAAAAAGAAGAATAACTAGAATAAGGCGTGTTGGTGCTTTCCGCCTCTGGGTCACCATGAATCAAAATAACAATCAAACCAGAATCGAATATGAAACAAAGAGTTGAACCCGCCAGCTGATCGATTGGATTAAATTGGCGCAGTCTTTTTGAGCTATCCTCACATCAAGAAAAAGAACACGCACCAACCATAAACACATCATCAAACCCATCGTTTCCCGAGTTCCACCCGAGTTCCAAGGCTCTGATGGATGTGGTTCCCCAGGCGTCCGTTCCACTGATTCACTGTGGCCTCCAACGGGCACTTCAGCGTCTTCTCGCGCGGCACCGTCGCGAAGTAGCTGGAGTCGAACCACTCCACGGCACCCGGGTCACCTGATCAAGCAAACCCTGCAGAATCCTAACATAGAAAAAAATGTGGAAATCCACATGAAAACCCATGAAAATCTGAGATGATCTTCATAAAACATGGGGGTTTCCACATCTAAACGTTTACCACAGGGTAACCACCTCTATATCGCCATCTCGCCGGGGTAACCGGAGGGGATTTGGACGGATTTGAGCAGAAATGGGGATTTAAGGAACAAAGGTGACACATATCTGTTTAACCATCAAAACTAAGAAGTATGAAGGGTTAACAATCAAACATTGTATCATTGTGATTTCAATTGTGAAAAATTGCGGTTCAATGAGTTCAATGGATTTGTTAGCAAAACATACAGGGCACCTTTACTCTTAAAATTAGGTGTTTCTTAATCTTTCCCATCATCCGATCTCGGGTGGTTTATTTGCAGCAAACGATATGGAACACCCACCAGAATTGTCGATCATTTTTCAGGAAACCATGGTTGTTCTCCACATCCGTGAAAAATACTGAGGGGAGAGGGAAAGCTGCGGGAAGCAAAGAATGGACAGGAATGTGCAAACATTCTGATCTAATCCATAAGAAGTGGGACAAGTGCGGAATAATGCGAAATACCCAATTCATGGAACCCTCCTGAGGTACGGTGGATCAATACTATGTAGATCTATGTAGTAGTTTGCTGTTTGGATAAATGTAATATAGCAAACTATTATAACACAACAGAATTTAATATAAAGATTCTACAGGATGGGGCCCCCCACTTATAAGTTGGTCTATAAACCATTATAACCCCCATTAACTAGCTCGTTATATCTACCGTAAACCATAGAATTCAGCCACTTATAAGGCAACTGAACGCTATCTTGGGGGCCCCATCCTGTATGTACTGTACACATTCCCATACATGTTCAAGATGCACATCCAGCCCGGAGATGACGAAGCAAGTTATTGAAAATGGCTCGGCGGTTCATTTTTTCTCAGGGATATACCCAACACATGTGTATATATATATATAACCAAGGACAACAATCTCGATTCTGGGATGCCCTATTTCCAAACAAGCCCATATGCATGTAAACACCGTATTCTTCAATATTCTTCACTGTTATTAATTTTCCATATTTACACATAGGATATCATGTTCAATTGGCTTTCTGGTTAATCTTCCTTCAACATGGAGGGTGCGGAAGTAACAAAGTAAGTAAAATGGCTGAAGTTGGTAAGATCACACGGTTGATTTCCCCTCATATTTTTCAAGGCACGTATACGTACACACACACACATATATATATAGTACATATTGATAATCACACACATGCAGATACATGTGTATTGCATAAAATTGTACATACATACATATATATTATATTCTATCTTATTATATGATTTTATATGTTATCATATTATGTTATGTTATATTATACCATATTATAATATTATGTCATATTATATTATATTATATTATATTTTATTATATTATATTTTATTTTATTATATATATTATATTAAATTATATTATATCATATTTTACTATATTATATTATATCATATTATATTATATTATATTACATTTTATCATATTATATTATTATATGTTATTTTATTATATATTATTTTATTTTATAACATTACTATTATTATTATTATTACTATTATTATTATTATTATACACAATATCATATATACATAAACACATGTACACATACCATATATACACGTGAGACATCCCCAGTTGTCCGATGTACATCCAAGTAATGGGCCGAAAGCTTGAACAACCCCTAACCCCAACCGAAATCCCCATTGTCTCTGGTTGGTGGTTTCAACCCCTCTGAAAAATATGAAAGTCAGTTGGGATGATTATTCCCAACTGAATGGAAAAATGAAAAATGTTCCAAGTCACTGCTATTGCCACGCTCCTTCTTCTCTTCCACCAGCGGTGCTATTGTGCTGGAGCTCGTCTCCACTGCCACTTCCGGCACGACATCGGCGGTGCCGGCATTGGCTGCGGTGGGCGGCGCCGTGCCATCGCTGGAGGGCGCGAAAATGAGTTCCTGAGGATGATGGGAGCTGGGAAAACCACGGAAAAACAAGCGGAAATCCACAAAAGTTGGGTCCCTGCACCAAACCAGTCAAAATGTATTTTTTCTTAATGGAGGTCGGTAGAACTGATCCAGATGGCCGCAACCTCATGTTGCAGATTGACTAACAACTTTAAGAACAACAAATTGAGTGATATCCGGTCCTTTTACTTGGTAATTTCCAACTTTTGCCACTGAAGTCTCCATTGTTCACAATTTTCCACTGGCTACATCACTTTGTTTTCTGGATACACCAATCACCAGTTGTACTGCGCACTTTCTCATGTCTTCTTGGGAAAAGTTGTCCCACTCAGCTGGGCCATGGAGTAAACTGGCGATCGCAAGCGGGTCATAACCCATTCTATTTTAGAACCAGGGGTATTAGAGGGATATGTCATATATAACCCACACACGCTCACCACTTGACTAACTAACCATGGCCCATCTGAGCAACGTCCATTTCTCCAGGCGTCTTGCAGCTGTAGAGCGTGTCTGGCAATGTGCCCGCGATCCACTTGTGCCAAGTTTTGGCATAGCAAGATGGAAATCACCACGATGACAAGCAAACCTGCAGAGAGGACATCTCCATGGTTGACCTTAAAGCCTTAGATCCACCTTAAAATATTGATGAACAATATGATTTCAAATTTTTGGTGGAATACAACTGATCAAAATCCTTCACTGAGACTGACCAGTTAAAATGGACCTGGAGCCCATCGAATAGTTGGAATATCACCCTAAACGCCCTGCAAACTGGTGCCCCGGCCCCGCATGTATGAGCTGATTTATAAGCCCACTTAATGATAGATACAAACCCAGCCAACCTTAGCTAAGTCTTGGGCAGCACTTGTTGAACAAGATGGAAACCCTTAACCCCCACCGGAAAAACTATAACAGTTGAAACCCGCTGTCCTTTATGGTAAACCCACTGATGGGAAAAGCCTGTTCTATCCCTTTTGGTGCCCCTTTTTTCCTTCGATCCAAGATCAACAGATTGTTTTTTCGGAAAATTCATGGAAAAATCAGCAGGACACCATGATAAACCACGGTTTTTGCCATCAAATGTAGAGCCTTTTTTTTGGGTAAAAAACCCATCACTGAACCAATCCACTGACAAGAAACAGGGCCCTGCAATGACGAAACAGCTCCTGAAACTCCCGCGACTCGGCGCTCCCATGGCCGGAAAGCGCCGTCATGGGATGCCATGGGATGCGGTGATGGGAAGATTTCAATGTCTGAACGGGTAGCCTGGATAGCAATAGAATCTCATAAAATATGGCAAAATATGGCAATATTCACATACTTTCATGATTTTCAATGGAACATAAATCATGATGTTGAAGATTTCTTTCATGGAAAATATGTTGATGGACCGTCTGAAGCTGGGCTTTTTTGATAAACACCATTCCGCGGAGATCTGAGTGGAGGAAGTTGAAGCGCGAGTGATTGGGAGACAGCCACGGCTGGTTTTCTGGTCTCATAGTAAGCCTCATCAGTGAAATTCATTTGAAATTCATGATTGGTGGATGTCACTGGATGTCCTTCAATGCAAATGATCTGACTTCATGCGGAATCCGGAACAACTAAATATCTGATGGTTGAAGTTCTCGATCGAACATATGTTGGCAAGGTTCCCGCAACCAATCTGAGCCTTTCCTTAAGGGTAGTTTTTCCTAGCAACGTGTGAGCATCAAATTTGCGGCACAGGGGCGTTGAACCCCGTGGACATGTCCGCAATATCGATGGATTGTACCTGTGATTTATGGCGAAGTAATCCCATCCCCCTAAGGTTAAATACACCCCAAACAAACACTTGGTTTAGTATCAAGTGAATTCCTGAATTGGGGTCCGATCATAAGGGGATATAGGACCTTTAAGTTCCAAGGGGTTGGTATTCAGGGGATGGTCCTTGGAGTGCAGGAAAGAATGCATTTTTCTATACACCACCTGGCAGGGTCTACCATGTAGTCTTTGATGGTTAAATAAGCTCAAATCACCACCTTTGCTTCACTTGTTCTTGATGCTTAAACGCCTAATGTTTGATGCTCAAATACCCTATGTATGCCTTGCTTAAATAGCCACATTTTTACTGATCAATGAACACTTTGTGATGGTTAAATCATAGTTAAACCCATGATTTGCTGGTAATCCTCCTCAACTTTCCCGTCAACTTTCGCAAAAAAATCGGTGTGAGATGAGCCTGAGTCTCCAGGATGGACTTCACGATGTGAAAACAGGCGCGAGGCGCCTCACCGGAGTGGTAAGATTTAAGTTTTTTTTGAAGCATCACATAGAGAATATATATATATATGGCATATATGGGCTACAATTGCATGAACTGGTTGGTGGTTTTAACCATCTTGAAAAATATGAAAGTCAATGGGAAGGATTATCCCATATATTATGGAAAAAATGTTCCAAACCACCAGCCAGCATATAGGATATATATGGGCTACAATGGCATTAACTGGTTGGTTGTATACCTACCCCACTGAAAAATATGAAAGTCAGTTGGGATGATGACATTCCCAATATATGGTAACATGTTCCAAACCACCAACCAGCATATAGGATATATATATATATATGGGCTGCAATGGCATTAACAATGGTATTCAAAGGCCTGTACTGGCATAAAACATATATATATATGTATCTGTATATTGTTCGAAAGTGGCACATGAACCAACAGCTGTTGGGGTGGCTTTAGGTAGCTGATGAATCTGAAGCAGTTCATACCATTCACTGATCCAATGATCCCAATGAGGTACAGGCTGGGACCATTTTGGTCATGGATCATGCCCGACAAAGCCACTGGCAGCCAGGACTCACAAAATTGGTTATTGCTAGTACTCAACCATCCCATCTTTTCGGATCCAATCATGAAAGCAGTACCAGTGGGTCTGAAAATTAGGGCATTCCAAAAAAAAAACAAAGTTTCAGAGTTTCAGAATATTTCACCATTTCACTTTCCTTGGCCATTTGGGAAGTCACCAGCTACCTCCTTTGGCTGCGTCCGCTCGCCGGCGCTGCGGGGCGCAGGCTGCGCGGCCTGGCGTAGGTCCATGGTGCTGGAAGATTTACCAATGCCCTAAAAATGACCCAAACAAAAAGGTACACATACCATACATGGAGCATATGGAATATGAAGAATGGGCAGATTCTTGGATAGCAAGAAGAAAATTGGATTTGATATCTAAGAATCGTGGGAGGTGTGACTATATTACTATATGTGGCCTCTTGTTCTTGTCACATATCACAATTGAGCATCGTCATCCCGGGAGGGCACAAACATGACACCACCCCAACCAAATAATTTTGCAAAGTTACGCTAATCACCGCCACTACTCTCTCTCTCTCTATATATTTACATAGAAATATAATCATCGACATGTGTCAAAAAAATGGGGTGGATCCCCTTACTAACCATCATGTTGTTGAGAAGTTGCCACAATGAATCCCAATAAACTCCCCAGTTGCGAGTTGGCCCCACTTCATGCCGATCGCACCTCCTCAGCTTCTAAACCTCAGCCATCAGGGACCTGCCGAAGGACCTATTGGGTCAGACATGGTCAGACTATGACTGTTCTCCTGGCCATCCCTTCGTGCTCCAAGCAACTGTCTAGGTAGGCATCGACATCCACACCCTCATCGTCTGTGTCCATGGCGACTTCTTTTTTTGCAGCCGAGAAAATGGATGAATCCAACTAGTTTCGTAGATCTTATTGGTGCCCCAAAAGCTCCGACCATGGCTCCTTTGGGTGGGCAACCTTATGGCCTTAGGCCCCGTTCAGAAGTCGGAGGCACATGCGGGGAGACTGTTGATATTATTCACAATCTTTGGTCATCCAGCATGGTTGTGGACATCTTAAATTCTATAACAGAAGGAAGGCCATACCATGGGGAACTTTCTGCTGCCAGGAGCATTTCTTGTTGGTCTGACACGACGAAATTCAAGTACAAATAGCACAGCTTCGTCATACAGCAATGACTCAATTAGAAAACCTTCTGCAAAGGGTAGCTTGAGCACCTACCCCAGTGGGATTCAATTTTGGAGAACAATGCGTTGGGCATCATTTCCCCTTATAAATGATGCCCAAGTCTGCCTTGAGCCACAAGCGAGCAAATTCGGTCGGAATTTTGAAATGTGAACCCCTAGAACACGGGCAGTGCTTGGAAAGTCTGATCTTGCATTGCACGTCAACTTTCCAGGTGTACAAGCTGTTTGTGGTTGGTCTATCCATCTCCATGTTGACGCAGTTTTTAGTTTTTATCCAAACCATCCTCCAAACCTATAGGTTGGGGTTCCATGTTGTTTGTCAGTAGACTCTCCATTTTGCCGAAATTCGCTTGTGCATCTTCCGGATTGGATCTCGACATGGCTTGGAAATTCGAATCTTCCTCTGCAACAGAACTGGTTAAAAAAATGATTTACTTCTGGCAGGATGGCAGGATTCCAAAGAACTCAACACTTGACCCACAATAACTTACAACACCCTGCCATAATCTACTGTAAATTACCCTAATTTACCTTAACTTTCCATATCTTCAACCATTCACCATTCAGTATTCCCAGGTTTTTTCGGGCTTCATATATTGTATTACTATCTGTTGGTGAAACGTCTACCCGTTTGGTCAATTTTCACACCTGATCGGATTTACATCTTTAGTTTCTAGTAATTTTAGGTAAACAAGAGCCTGGAGAAAGATAGAAAAAACAACAGATCCATGATCTTAGTTTCATGGTGTTTCCCATAATTTCCAAGGTTCCAACTTTTCTATCTATGACTTGGGGTTGATCTCCAGCCCCGTCTCCACCTGACACGTTCTAAGGTGCGCCGTTGCAGTGCCGCACGCTCTTCGGCGGCCTCACAGGCCAGCTGTCCCCAACTTATGACGGCTTCTTGGATTCACATCCATCAGCCTTCAAGTTGACTGGGGTGGCAAATAAAAGGACATCAGTGCATACACTCATCAGAACTCACTCCAGTACCAGTAGGTAGCTACAGCGGAATGCCTGAAAAACGGTTTCTTGTTCCCCGCGAATAGTCATATTGGTTTGGGGAAAAGAGAAAGCACTATTTACCCATCAGTTTTCCCCATTTAAATATGTATCCACCTATCCATCTAGCTATCTAGCCATCTCTCTATATAGATATAGATACAGGTATAGATATAGATAGAGCTAAAAATAAAAATATAGCTAAATAGCCAGAGAGAGAGAGATAGATAGATAGATATAGATATAGATATAGATATAGATATATATATATATATATATATTACGCATATTTCCCCCCCAAAAAACAACCAAACCATGTGGCCAACGGTTCTCGGCCTCTGCCAGGCGATTTTGCAGCTGCGGCACCTCGTGCTGCAAGAACCTGGCAGTCCCCGGCAATCCTGGCCTTTTAGAATGGAATTTTGCCATTGGAATATTGGAATAATCCCTGTGACAACAGGTGCGCAGCCAACGCCCAACTTGGGTTGAGCTGTGGCCAAAAGCGCGAGCACCACTCAAATGCCGTAGCCTCCGTCTGAAGACGCACGATCCAAGATCAACATCTCCGTATTCGTGGCTTCTCCTCCTCCAGTCGCAGCCGTGACTTCAGTGTATGCAGAACTCGTGGGCGGTGCAAACGAGGTAGGGCCAGTGGTTGGCGCAACTTCTGCCGGATTGGTTCCTGATACTCCTGGCGCTCCTGTGTCCAAAATGACTTCTGGCGGTGCTGAAAACTCCGTTGGAGTAGCTCCTCCTCCTCCAGGCGCTGTGTCTGCACATATTCTATTGAATTGATTTATAGTATAGTAATAAATATAATCTATTTATTGAATTTGTAGTAATCACCATTCTCTATCAATAGTCCATAATTGAATTGATTTATTGTATAATAGCACATAATAGTATAATCATGTATAATCTAAAACATGTCCATAATATCACCTACAATGGACTGTAATCACTATATCTATCTATAAAACTATTGGAATAGGATATCGCATATTTTTTGTATCACACTAGAGTAAAATATAACAAGATTATTATACATCCGGATAAAGCAAAATACCAATCGAATTTTTAGTGTTGGAATATTGGAATGCAATCTATAATCAATAAAATAATAATCATATACCGGAATCAAAATAATCTAAAATATTATCTATAACGTACTATAATGACTATACAACTCTTATTCTTGGAATATAATGAAACAATGGCAATCTATAATGGATATTGCAACTATATTCCATTATCATTATTACTACTATTAGTACCCCTTGGCACCCGTGGATAACGAATGACAAAATAACAAGGGCTGATACTTACAACAGTTTTAATTTTACATAATGATGTAAGATATTAAAACAATGGAACAATGGAACAACAATTTGAATGTAATGGGATACAAGTGGAATAACAGTGGAATACTACTGGGATAAACGAATCATCATGGGGAAAATAACCAACACTCATATCTTCTGCTAATTTCACAGTTTGCGAATTGGACGCCGTGTCCCATTTAGTTCGGCGATTTGCCTAAACACTGTGATGTTCCACAGAGGGTCCCCGTCATTCCCCTCAAAAATGATCATTTTTTCTAATAAAAATAGGACAAGAACTAATCTGTTACACCCAATGCCGTAAACATAAGTAGCATTTGGGGATGCCTCTCTCGATCCATTTATGAGAAGTCATTGGGGGTCGTTTATTACTTGGGTTTACCACATTACCTTGGGGAGAAGATATGGTTGGGTATGGAACTACTTCAACCGGGATCAGTACAAAAATGTCTATACTGCTATCCAAATGGAATTACTATAGACATCCGAACAGGGAATTTTCGTGCAACAATCATTAACCTGGGGATATCTAAAAAATGACATAGTCTACCTACTTTAAGATGACGATCGTATATACTTTATCCAATCTATGGGGATTTAGAGTAGGTGGATAGTATACTTGGAGATTTACTACTCTAAAAAACACAGGTTGCCAGCTGAACGTAAGGTACCGGGTACCCCAAAATCTTATTTTTGGGATTTGTTCTGGTCTTGTTCCAGCTGGCCTCTTCTTATCTGATGGGTGAATTCTATCTGAAGCATATTTCATATTCGTCATGGGGGATCGTCGTCCAATTTCTATGCTTGAACATAGAACATATTTGAAACCACAAGCCAGGTCATCATTGGTTGTGTTTCCCCATTATATCCCCATGTGAGATGGTTAAATCCACAGCTTACCGCAACGATACTTATTGTCAGCTAGACTCACTATTTATAAATCCCAGAAAAAACTCGTTTATCCCGATTATACCCCGGTTAAATGCCATTGAATGCCAAGTGTTGATGGAAACAAAACATACTTCCATTAAAGGATTTGGATGGATTATATCCTTTATATAATGGTATTATAATGGTATAATTATAAACGGGGATATCCCTATAGCATGCTATATCCATCAATATCCCAATTGGACAAATCCATGATATCCCCATTGTTCAATGGCCATGCCGCTTCCGCGGCGCCTCCGCAACAAGTCCTCGGCACTCTCGCGCAAGCCACCCTTCCTCTCAACGGCATCGCCTTAATCTGGGGCTATGGACAATTTCGTGGATAATTCATGGATAATTAGTGGATGTTTTAATCCATAGTACCATGAATAGCCCCAGGCCCATTAACTATATTGTCCATTTACTAATTACTATTAGCACCATGTTAATTAATTAGTTGACTATAGTCAATTAACACATGGATAATTAATGGATGTACCAATAGTAATTAAAAATGGAATGTAGTGGAGACTACTGGATTCAATAATGGATGTACCAATGGTAGTAATGAGTAAAAGAATAGGATTTCCCATCCCCAAATTTACAATTTTAATGGCTATAAACCATCAATCCGTGTGGGTGGTTTATGACATTGCTGTACTAACATTGTCAGGGCTTCTTACTCATGGTTTACTAATGTCATCTGGGATCCCAAATTATTATTTGAGATCAAAGACTCTTCTCATAATCCCAAGTATGTTGAGCAAAAAAAAGTACATTGGTATCACCTACAGGCAAACATGGCAATGGACAATTCATCACCGACCATACCATCAAGAAGTGAAGGTTCTAGCTACGTCCGGAACTGCGGTAGTGCCCGGCTTGCATCAGGTGTATCATCCAAGTAATCCTCTCACTTCCACCTATCATGGCGAGATACAATGCAAAAACAAGCTGGGTAGGATATCATAAATCCATTTCGGGGTATTGAACTATTACCAAAAGCATCTTCAGACCCAAGGTGAATGCTTCCCCCTGGTCAATCCAACCAGTCACATCTAGCTACAGTATGTTACAATACAAAAAAATCAAACCATTAACTTGGCCCATGTCCAATCTTAAAGCTGGGATAGCTAGGACCAGCTAAATTAAATCGTTACTCCCCAAGGATGGTCTCAAGCCCAGTTCCATGGATCTCTGCCATCTGCCAAGGCGCGCAGCAATTGAGATCTATTTTCAAAGGCTTCCAACAAGCGCGCCTGGAAATCCATGGGGTCTGTTCCAACCATGGGATTTTCCACAATTTTTGGGGGGCATAGTCTGATGGAAAACTATCAACTTTCCTCAGCTTCCAAAACGGTGCTCAAATGATGCGCAAATGTCCCGTAGTATGGCAACAGGCTTGCACACAGCCCAAACGGTGGAATTTCAGGGAAGAACTTCTGGTGCAAGATGCTGCAATGAGCCAAGAAGCACAGCATGTATGCAAGACTCATTAAGCTGTCCCCTTCACACTTGGGGGCACGAGGGTCGGTATGGTTTAGTGGATAAGACACATCCCTCATGCGTCAGGCCCCGGTTCAATACCCGGCCAACACTACGCGGACACACGAACCATTATGCCACCCCTGCAGTTCAGGGGATGAGCTAGGGTGTGGTCCGTAAAACACTGACTCACACTTGGGGGTGCAGTTGGGCTTCTAAATGGGCATAACCATGGTCATAACAACAATAAGTTGGGACATAACCCGTATAAACATGGTCATATACCGAGCTATTAAGTGGAATGGGCCCAAGTAGGTATCTTTCAGCCTTGGATCTTGGAATCTGTCCACTTCTTGCTGGAAATGGAAGGCGATCCACCACATGACACGAGCAGCAAACCTTTTTTGGGCACATGCTCTGCAAACTTCGCTTAAAGCGACGAAGATAAAGGAAATCATGATGTGAAATGGATCAGTGGGACAACATCAAGTTGCCCATATGGATCTATACAAAAATGAGGACTAGCAACAAACCGACCGCGTATGGGAAGGTGTGGAAAAGAAAGAGCTGCCCCTGACACATGCTAGTCAATCCGCATGGCCCAGTGAATGTTGGACCAACAAGAGGGAAAATTGTCAAGCAAGCAAAGACCATGCGAGTCAATCTGCACATCCCAGTAAATGCGGGGACACATGCAATGCACATGCTTTTACTCGTTGGTCATGGTAGCAAAAGCTTCCTTCACACGGAAACACATTTTTCATGATGGCACGTATGTGGGCACAAACGTTCGGTTGACACACCCTCCAAAATTCACAGAGAATCTGATTGCAAATCCAAAAGCTATCACGGTTCCGAATTTGGAGGTTGGTTGAACGAAGGCACACATTTGTGCAACTTGGCCATTCAAGTATGACACCAAAGGGCAAAGGAATTCCTTTATCAACAGGACACGGTGCCGAAAAACGGTGGGACAACCCCAACCATGGCAGGAGGCGAAGGGGGGCATCTGGTAGCTGGGAAGTAAGGACCTAAACACCTACCATACACTTACCTAGACTCCTTCATTGACTTGTAGAAGAACTTGTCCTGCATTTACTCATCCTTTGAAGCACCTTTCCGGCAATTCTAAAAAATCTATTTGTGTTCTCTTTTGATGGTTTAGATAATTAAGGTGGAAAACCTAAGCGTGAACCTGAGCTTGGGGATAGTACAACCATCCATTTCTGACAAGGCATACAGGAAGGCCCCCTCCATAGGTCAATTGGCACATAAATATATATATGTATTAATTAATTAAGAAAAGTTATAATATATATATACATATATATAACTAGGCTAGCTAGGATTTATGCTGGATACTGGACATCTCTATGGTTATACAGATGGGGTTATCAATTGCGCAAGCCTATCCTTCGCCGTCATGCCATGTGAGGAGGCGTTCCAGAAAAGAACCAACCCCATCTTCCACCCAATGCGACTTCCTCACATTCCTCGGCACCAAAAATGACACCACTGGGGGGCACTGGGGGGCGAAAAGGACAAACTGAAAAGGGGGTGTCGGTTCAAAAGGAAGAACGGAACATGCAGGAAACATCAAGAAACCATTTTTTTTTCCCCTCAACCATCCAAATCAAGGGCTTTCCTTAAGTTTTGTGTAAAACATCCAAAGACCATTTCATCGAAATTTGGGGCTCTTTCGAAGTGCAGCCATTCGGGACAGTTTCGGCGTTCTGTTGCAATTACTACCACGCAGTCATATGGGAAAAGCCCCAGGCATCTCATTGATCTCTTCTTTGGATCTTCAAACTCGCAACGTGAAGTTTCCGGCAAAGATAAAATGACAAACAGATTAAGTACTAATCTACCCTCTGGTAATTTAAGATACCTGAAGTAGCTATAAAGAATATGGATGAAACAGGCCCATTTTATGATAGATCATTTACATAAAGAAATGGACGTTTTCCAAAGCTAAAGTAAGTTCATTAGTGCCTGGCCAAGCTGTCGGCCGGTGAGCATTGCTCAAACGATGCTTGGAAGTTCCATCTCGAAGATTTTCGTCAATATCGGATATCATGAACCTCATTGGGGGTGTTGTTTGATTCTTCCCGGTATCAATAGCCGAATCAATAGCCATTCATTGCTTATTCATGGCGAGGTTGTTCGAGATCGCCATACATCATCCAGATTCATCGTGCCGTCCTTTGCAGGTGCTTTTTCACAGTTTTTCAAAGTCTTTCACCCGCAGCTGTCGGTACTAATCCCTTCCCCCATTAAAAACACCACCCAAAGAACCATGCTTCAGTAGGGAATATACACAATTGGGACCCCTAAAGTAGGTGTGTTCAATAGGGGATGGGGATTCTTCTCAGCCCGCTTGAGATCCTGGAACCGCCCATTCCCCGTCGAACAAAAAGAGGCTTTTCATCGTGCCATGCCTTGGCACGAATCGAAGATTTGGAGAGTCATCTTCCTATTGGATTCGTTCACATTGTCCACATATCAATGTTTGATAATGTTGGTAATATATATACATATTTGTTTATTTATTTATTATTTACCCTCCGGTAATTTGACATAGCTATTGAAAATGGCCATAGAAATAGTGAGTTTTCCCATTCAAAATGGTGGATCTTTCCATGGTTTTTGCACGTTTACCAGGGGGTATACATATTTTAAATGTCTTTTCACTGATCAAATCTCTAGGGCAGTTGAAGCTGAAACAAAAAACCCAGCCCCAAAACAAATCCAAAGATATTCTGAGTAAAAAATCTGACAGTATCCATGTGGGATCTTACATAAGTTCATCCCTGTTTGGGATGAAAGAGGATAAACTATAAACCAACCTTCAGTTTCAAACCTCCCCCCTCCTTCTTACATTCATATCTCACCAGGAGAAACTGGGGTATAGTTACCCCACAATGGCAGTTTCAATAAGGAATATGCTGTTCTAAACCACTGTGTCGTGGGGTTTCCCAAGAAATGAACAGTTAACCATATCCACTCATCGATTCACCATAGATTTGCTGCTTGATCCTCCATTTGGATGGATTTCAACGGTGCTAAATATTGAATTTTGATGATTTTTGATGATTCTAAACCAGTTTTTAATCACCATTTTTGATGTTGACTGTCCCCAGTGTTTATCATTTTTCATCTCTGCCAGTCGTTCTTGGATTTGCCAAATCGGAGCCCCCCAGTCGTCATGGATTTCCCGTGAAATTTGAAGGGCCAAATCATCGACTCAGAAAATCCAGCCACGTTGCGATGTGTTTTTTTGATGATATGATATAAATAAGTACATACATACACACAAACATATATATATATATAGAGGAGTATATATATATATATATATCAATTTCTTAATCACCATTCTCTTTCACTCTTCTCTGTTTTCATGGGTCATCATGGCTTTTTCGCCAACTCCAAGTCCAGAAGAAGTTCAAGTTGCGATGTGTCCACCGTGCTTGGTATATGCCAAGATGACCTGTTCATTGCTTCGCACCGTCTCCAACGGTACCCAGCTGGTGGTCATGGGATCATCCGCCGCACTGATCAGCAGCAGCGGCACAGTGACATCTGCCAGGCGCCTCGGAAACGTCGGTGGTTCACGGTGGTGACCACATCTTGCTGGGGGGGTTTGGTATCAAACATGGTGATTTAAGATGATTGAAGATCATTTAAGATGATTCAAGATGATTTAACCATCTATTTAACATATTTTAACATTAGATTTAAATTAGATTTAAGATGATATTCCACCATCTAAACATAAAACTTGCGAGTTCGGGACCTCGGGCTCAACATTTTCCACTTTGGTCTCAAAATCTAAAAAACGAGCCTGGAGCAGCTTGCCTGATGGTAGTACTCCTCCACCGAGCTGTAACCTCAGCGTCTGGCTTCCCAGCCACCTCCAAAGAAAGACAGTTTTCATCCACGAAAAAAAAGGGGAATTTATGATGGATTTAATAATCAAACAATGAAGTATATCAGTATATCATTTAAATATATATATATACATATTCATGTCTATCATCTGGCAGTTTGTGGTTAGAACCCGTTGGAAGCTTTTTGTGACGACGCAAGTTGTATATCCAAGTGTATCCAATTATATCACAATTATGCCAACATTAGTTGTATGACAATGATCCACATTATATCCTCGTTTCCCCAGGTAACTCCACATTACCATCTGCTAATTCAACCCCAATGGAAGATCACAATTCATAAACATGGTAAATCATCAAAGTGCATTGGGGCATCTATACTACTATACCTGGTTGGTGGTTTCAACACCTCTGAAAAATATTAATCAGTTGGGATGGTTATTCCCAATATATGGAAAAATAAAACATGTTCCAAACCACCAACCAGATACCATCTGGCTGAATTACAATAATTCCCTAATCTGAAGCTAGCTGTTGTCACACGGCCATCGATTCCCCGATTCCAATTCCTATCATTCCGGTGGCATCACAGTGAGGTCATGATGAAATTCATCCAGATACCATGGTGAAGCCATGGTAAGTCGCCATGGTTAAGTCGTGTTAAGTCACCATTCCTGGATTGGTGCTTGTACATCTAATGATATCTAATTACCGCTAATTACGCATATCCAAATAAACAAAAACAGAATACATAGCCCCTCCAATGTCATCTAGTTATATCTAATTACAAATATCTATGCATATCCAACTTGAAAGAAAAACAGGCCCCAGTGAATCACACATAGCTATTGAACATGGCCATAGAAATAGTGGATTTACCATGATTTACCCATTAAAAAAGGTGGATCTTTCCATAGTTTTGTGTATGTTTACCAGAGGGTAGCTTTCCAAGGCACCGAACATCCGTCGAATCAGCGCTTCATCGATATCTCGGATGCGCGTCGCCGACGCGATGCGCTGGTGATCCACGGCCACGGCGTCGGCGGCCACGGCGGAGGGGACCGGGCCGGAGCGGTAGAACGGCATGGCCTGGATGGAAAATCTGCAGGATTTTGCCATGGAAAAACCGGCAGATTTTTCCGCAGGTTTTTTCGAAACCTAGTGACCTAGTGGTTTCTTGCAGAATTTTCCGACCAATACTTGGATGAACATGAGATGACTCAGAAGCTATGAAGTTGCATGCAGATGAAATATGATTGGAGACAATGGGAAACACACCACCAAAGTCTCCAAACATTGGAAGTTCACAGTTGAAAGCGACTTTGGCAAAAACGCTTCATTAACATAGACCCCAAAGATACACCTGAAGCGGTCCTAGGACGCCAAACCAGCACCAGTGATGGAATGCTCCTACTGCCAATATCCTAAAATCGAAACAAAAAGACGTGAGGCCTCGCCCAATCCACCAGTTGGTCTACTCAAACATCATCACTGTGGTTTAAGGGAAAATCTACCGGAAACCATCGATTTTCCCCTGAAGATCATGGCGCTTTCCGGTTAACATGTTCCCTTAAACCAATCCATTGACATCAACATCTTTGTTGGTTAACTCCCATCGTAGTGTCGCTCAAACTCCCAAGCGGCTGGTTCCAGCATCTTCTTCAAGTTTCGCAGCACGTGGGGATCGTAGAGATGTCCTTTTTTCGTTTCGTTTCGGGGAAACTTCGGGGACCTTGACTCGAGTGTTTCTAATGGTGATCCTTAAAAAATCGTTGGAAACACGGGGAAACATGGGAACATGACTTTAGAATGGGGATCCTAAAATGGTGCATCAAAGTGTTTTTTTTTCCTCTTCCTGTCTCTTTAAATATCTTAATATGGACAAACGCGTGTTAAAAAGGCGAAAGTGCACGGACGTGACCACTATCCACAAAGCATTTGGATAGATGGAGAATCAGCATGATCCCACACGTTCCCAACAAGATATTGAGTCCAACTCTAGAAAAATGGCCTCTGGTAATCAAACATGCCTAGTTGGACATTGTTCCATTTAGATCCATTGAGTTAGATGCAGCCAGCTCTGGTTTTTTGGGATCAGCTTTGGCGGTTTCAACCTGGGTTGACACTTCGGTCCCTTCCACATTGAAATCCAAATGTACCATTCAAACATCCAAACGTCAGAGGTATATAACATTTTTTCAACGCCCTCATTTATCGGCCTGCCCTTCGATTTCCAGGGAATCAGAAGAATGATAAAGGATGATACCATCTGGATATTTAACAGTTTGCCATGGAAAATCACCTTTTTTTATAGATAAACCATCTGTAAATGGACCATTTCCATGGCTATGTTAAATAACCAGAGGGTAAAGGATATTTTCTTGGATAAAGGATGATCTAGATGGGATGACGTGCGTTTGCTTTTCAGGCCAACACAAACATGCGCCGTTGAATTCCCAAATGGCGGATTGATCAAGGCAGAAAATAACAAATCCTCTTCAGTAAATGGGTTTCATCGTCATTTTCTCATATTAAAAGACCATGAGTTTTAAAGACCATGCCAATCCAATAGTATATATCATATAAATATATAAAAGTTATGTAAATATGATTCTTCAACATTGTTATAGCCTCATTGATTCTGTTGTCATCACCATGAAAACTTGATACCCGTTGATTTCCCTCTGGTAATCAACCCTATGACTTGCTGGAACACCTATCTATTCATAGATGATTTTCCCATTAAGACTTACATATATAAGGAATTTCCCAGCACCATGTTTGATTACCAGGGGGTACATCCAATCCCATTTCCTTGTAGCCCTATTGTTGATGGTAAATCCACTTAAATCCCAATTCAACCACCATGTTCAATTTTTCATGGCAAACCCCATTCAAAAGATCACCATTTTTGATGATACATCCGATGAAATTCCCATTCAATCACCATTTTGCATGGTAAATCCCATTTCCCATGAAAATCCCCATGGTTTTCACACCACCAAGGCACTCATGGGCCAATGTTCGTCATACTGCCGCGCAGTGCGTGTCAGGCAATGCGTGGCGCACAGCGCTACGCCGCCGTCCAGATGCGCTGGGCCGTGGTGGTCCGGGCCTTCTGACGGGCAGCAACAGTGCCATGGAACATATCACCATTGCAATAGGTAAATGAATGAACCAAATGGCTCATTCTCCCTATGTTCAGTTCCCGGAGGGTATGTAAACATTGCATAATGTTGTGTATATATCTATATATATATATTATATGTGTGTGTATAAAAGGGTAGATAGGGCTGTTGGTCATTTGTGTGTAAAAGAAAACACGGAATTTGATGAGTAGACCCATAAAATTGGGGTTACCCTCTAGCAATTCAACCTTGCAATGGACAAGTCTACATGTATGCTGATGTTTTTCCACGCAAATATCGCAGTTTCCCGTTTGAATGCTTGATTGCTGGAGAGGTGCTGGAATCCGAAAAAACATGACAACACCGGAAAAGAAATCAATCGGGCGTATCCGAAACAGCTTCATAAATATGGTGAACATCACCTGAAATGATATAACATGATGAGATATGATCAGTAAAAAAAATACATATGGTAAAATAGGCATGTTCAATCATTTTCATAAATATCTTGGCATCTTTACCCATCGCATCCTGCCATCCGCACCATCCGCTGCCTTGCTCAGCCAAGGCATTCACCACGATGTTTCCTCCAAGGCTCCACCCCATGGCGAAGACCTTCCTGAAAAAGGCGATTCGAATGGGAAAACCATGGAAAACACCACATGAACGTCATTTGAAATGTCCATATATAATCATGTATATATAATCATATATATATAATCAAATATATATTATCATATATATATATACATATATATATAAAATCATATATATATATTTAATCATATATATATTTCACATATATATATATTATAGAATAAGTCTGTTTTCTTTGTGTTGATATTTGATAATGTTCCATGGTTTCCACCTCCAAGCTAGTCAAGAATTATCCGCGCCATGAACTTGTAACTGGCTTTCCAGCCATCCACCACCAAACCCGGTAGGCTCCTGGGGCTTTGGCCCGGCAACAAGGTGTTGCGGATGTAGCTCACAGCCTGGAGATGGAGATGGAGTTGGTGAGTTTGGGAGGTGCAATCCTCCAAAATTACCTATGAAAATGCACCATTAGTTTTGGAGGTAAACTAACATAACTATGGAAAATTACCATGTTTCAGGTTTATCAAGTTTTAGAGCTTCTCTCCCCAGTTCTGGAGCTTCAATCATATTTGATCAGCCAGTTTTTTTTGCAAAAAGTGAAATCCAGTGAAAAATATCAGCTGGAGGATTCTTGCGCCCAGTAAATATACCCTCCGGTAAACTAACATAGCTATGGGCAATGGCCATTTATAGTTGATATACCTATTCAACATGGGGGAAAATCACCATAGTTATGTTAGTTTACCAGAGGTAATTGCCACCATGATTTTGCCACCAGAGGTATTACCATTTCAATATATTTCAATAGCATCCAATAGCCATTTCACCAGAGGTATTACCATTTTTACCAGAGGTATATGATATACCCTCTCCTTTTTTTGACATCCCCGCCTCCCGCAGATCTCCTGTGGACCCCCGGTGCGCAGAGGCGAAGCGCGGCGTGCGCAGCTTGGCTGCGCCCACGCCGCGCATGTTGAGACCCAGGACGTGGAAACCGCGGTGGAGTAGGGAGAACGCCATGTTCCTGGCCAAAAAATAGTAGTATCCATACATTATGTATATATATATATATGTATATGTATATGTATATATATATATAAATGTAAATATGTATATATGTATATATGTATATATGTATATATGTATATATGTATATGTATATATGTATATATATGTATACATGTATATATGTATATATGTATATGTATATATATATATCGCATAAGTTCCAAATATCTCATTAGTTCCAACATGTTCCCTTCATTAATGGATATTGATGATAATGTGTCATATATCCCATGAGTTCCAACAAGCATAGTCATTTAATGGCAATAAACATGGGCCATGATCCTTACAATATGATTTCAGCCTGGATATCTGGTGTTTATCAATTTTACCGGGGAAACCAAGCATGTTCCTTGGCTTTTTGATAGAACACTAGTTGAGAAAATCGTCGACGTCAATGAGATTTTGGCCCACCGAAATGGATGGGTTTCCCTTGGTTTTCGTATAGCAACGACAATTTCAATGGTGTCTATAGGTGTCTATCGCTATGGCTGAACATCTCTGCTGCCCAAACTCATGCCACTGGGAGGGATCAAGCATTCAAATGCTGGGATGATTCAACTCAAGTGCGGTTTCTCTGAAAATAGTTTCGCAGTTTCATGATAGTTTCATCATAGGTTCACCAATTCTTGGGCACCCCATCCTCCCTTCCCTTGCCTCACGTAGCCGCCATTGGCACTTCCCCCGAGCCCCGGAATCAGCACCGCCACTGGCGCATCATCTGCCGTGCCCGTGCCCGGAAGGGAGAAGGCATCCAGCGCCAAGATGCCGCCATCCTAAGCCGTGGACAGAAAACACTGGAGAAATGCTGGGAATATCTGCGGTTGACCTCGGACATCCGGAGGGCTGGACATAGTCTGGTTGGTGGTATACCTACCCCTCTGAAAAATATGAAGGCCAATGGGAAGGATGACATCCCATATATTATGGGAAAAAACATGTTTGAAACCACCAGCCAGGAGTGATTTGGGACAAATGACTCCAGTTTGGACACCCGGACGATTGACGAGTTGTCGAGAAATTGACGCCACTCTTCGTGGTCTTATCCTGAAGTGTGCCATTTCCATTATTCAACAAATTTCATGAAAGAAGGACCTCATTCTCACTAATCCCATCGCACTCATCACACTAACATTCGATACCCCCAAATACAGGACCCTAAAATGAACCGATCCAATCTGCATTAGAGTTCCCAGGGTGGTATTTTTAATACTATCTTGGAAAGGGAGTACTGCACCCCTCTCATGAAAATCAACCCAAATCCCTAGTCCCACTAGTATCTTAAACACTAAAAAACCACATAAAACCACCATGAATCTCCAATTTTTCCATATTTTCTCCCTTTTAACCATCTTGAACTCCCCGGAAATCCGTGGAAATCCAGGCAGTTCCAGGCATCCAAGGTCTCCACGAAGTGCGTTTCGCAAGCCACCGCCTGCACCTCCCGTAGCGTCCCCGCCAGGACCGTCATCACGTCGCCCTGCTGCAGCCACCAGGGCGCCTGGTACCAGTCACGCCAGGTGGCGAAACTTCGGAGGCCTCGGCGATTTCTCGGCACTGGGCGAAAAGGTGCGAAAAGTGGAAATCAAACAGATATCAAGCAGATTTTTTGGTTCCATTTAAGCGATCGAACATTTCTCTCATCGCCATGCGATCGAACATTGGACCATTCAATGTTCGATGTTCAATCAAAGTTCCCAATCATGTGACAGGTTATTAACGTCACAAGTGGTTTACACATATAAAGGATAGCAAAAATCGGGGGATCATATCAGATGTCATAGTAAAAACATTGGATTAACTACTACAGTTGCGTTCAGTATAGAAGGTGGCTCAATTCACCCAACGAAATTTAGCTGATATACGTAATTAATATCCAAACAAAGGCTCTGAAGGATTATCCACCGATTGCAAGCATGGATTCTGGTTCCATTGCCAATTTCCAAGCATACCCCCCATGCATGCCATTCTGCCCCCTCAAAAAATGGACCCAAAAAGGGCTTGCCCAAAGTCGGGCACCTCCCAAGTGGGGTGCTTTTCCTCATCATTTTTTCTGTATTTTTTTCCTCTTGTGGTATCCCTACATTGGACCCATCAGTTTTTCATAGTTTTTCACTCTAAGGCTCCATTTTCTGCGAAGAGGTGCTGCGCCAGCCGCGAGTGTCGCTGGAAGTAGAGCCCTTCCCTGCCATCCGTCGCCTCAGTCGCCCCGGTCGCCTCCACGTAGGTCTCTGGCAGCGCGCCAGCCGCGTGGGCCGCCCGGGCGCGGGGTCGCAGGATGCCGATGAAGCTGGGGCGATAGCTGAGGAGACCCCCGAAGCCGATGGCCAAAGGAAGCCATCGGCCCCAAGTCGGCATGGGATGGCTTGACTTTGGAAAAATAGCTGGTTAGGATTGGTTCGGTTGAGATTTTGGACAAACACCTCTGCAAAATGGTCGGATTTTTGGTGTTTTAGGTCACGGAGCTGCGATTGAGCAGCTGGATGCTGCGAATGGCTAGGTTCGAAGGGAAAGTCAGTTTCTGAAACCTTTATCTTGTGGAGTTTATTTCTGCGTCAAACCTCGAGGAGGTATGTCAAAAGGAGAAACACCATTGGTTGGCGTGACGCCGTGACACCCTATAGAAGTGGCATCGTTTTGAAAGCTGATATTATCCGGTTGGTGGTATACCTACCCCTCTGAAAAATGATGGAGTTCGTCAGTTGGAATTTTCTTGTTTCCAATATATGGAAACCAAACCACCAACCAGTCATTAATATCCATGATTATCTATGCATTTTTCTCATCTCAAACTATTGGCGCAAAAGCTCCAGCTCATTGGCACCAGCGAAGACTTGAGCAGATGAGTTGGGCGCATGGGCGATGCGAGCTGGATCGGGGGCCCCCATTGATTAGCGCAGAATATGGGACATTGCACGCCAAGTTCTCAAGGGCACGTGACCACTTGCTAAAAATTCAGCTCGTGGAATTTTAACTATCTGGACATGTTTGCAATATGATGAACTCAGATACTTGGATTTACATAATAGGGCCATAAACAAAAAAACATCCAGATAGATCCCCCAGATCGTGGTACAGCCACGAAAAACATGACAAATCCACTTCAGCAAATCCAAGTATATGACTTGGGGTTAGACTCTCAACTGTTCTGAATCCCCCGCTTAGTTTTGGTTAGTAACTAGCTACAGGATGCTACAGGTAGTAAACTTTATCTGCTCATGGGGGTGACATCACGCTCAAGCTCCACTTTCGCTCGTCGATGTTGCCATAAATTCCCTAAGGCTTATAAATCATATTGCCATAAATTCATATAAATTCCCTAAGGCTCCAAAAACCTTCTCAGACTGTGGTTGGCATGGTTTTGGGGGTTGAAACACCTTCTGAGATGTTGTTTGGAGCATTGGGGATTAATATATATATATATTTATATATCAAGTATATAGTATAAACTATAGACCATCTCCAAAATCACCATACAGGCTGGTATGTTTCCCATCCCCAGCCATGGTAGGTTTATGGCACTGGGTTTCCCGAATTCATATATATATATATATATATATTCGTTAACATCCCTTAAACCCAGAGTTTTTCCCGTTTCCCCCCTATTAAATCCCATTTACTCCCGTTAAATCCCAATAGCACCTCCGTTTCCGCGCTTTGACAGCGGGTGTCCTGGTGGACACGAAGAAAACCACTCCGCGGAAAAGTGTGCCGGCACCGGATTTTTCAGCAACAAAAATTAGGATTTCATAGGATTTCATGGGTAGAATGGTGTTCTATTTGGAGATTTATATCATTGGATTTAATGGGAATTTAAGCATCGGGATGTAAAGGGGGATTTTTGCTTGACATAGCGGATTTCTGATAGGTATATAAGTTGGGAACTAGGGCAATTCTGGTTCGTGTTCATGGTAGTGATATATCTCTTGATAATGATGTTTTGAAATCAGCTTGTAACTGGGGAGCACAACCTTGTACCAGCCTTTCTCAAATTTCCGTGGAAGGTGATGTCTCAGGGTTTCTGTTTCCAGCTCAGTATGGAAGATAACCATACCGATACCCTTCATAAATTAACAACCTTGAGCTTGTGAATATCCCAAAACAACTATTTAAAGCAACACCAGAAATTGAAGTACAAATGCTACCCAAAACAATGGGTAATTTCATGAATAAGACAGTTTCTGGGAAGTACCGAGTGTAACAGTTATAAAAAGAGATCCCTTTTACTTGTCGCTTTACCCGTTCCCAACGAGCAGCGCTCCTGAAACGCCTCGCGCAGATGCTGATCGATGCGTTGCAGCTGTGAGAGCTGTTCCTCCACGTTGATCTGACGTCCACGTTGCGCCGCCTGTGGGCGCTGACCACGGAAAACTGGGTGATAATGATGTATGGATGATAATAGTAATAGTAGTGATGTGATCCTTGAAACTAATAGGACGTACCATACTATGTTAATGGTATACAGTCACCGACAGAATTATGGAAAAAACAACGTTTCAATTTACAGGCGCCGCCTGTCTATGATAGAAAAGTTACGAACCTTTTTTTTTCTCCATAATTATTGTTCCATATTTTTTTCCATAATTCTGTCGGTGACTGAATGTCCATCGATTCGCAATTTGAATGCATTTTAAGGGGGAATATTGAATTATAGAAAATATGTGTCTAAAGATCTGGTATATGCCCCTAAAGCCTGCCATTGATATACATAATATCATGTATACGGGTATGTACATGTAAACCCCATTTCACAATTAGCTTCCTAAGAGGTTGTATCCCAACTTAAGAATTACATATGAGGGCTATTACCCATGGAACATAGTGGTACCAACAAAGGAAAAAACAACTGCACCACCAAAACTCATTGTTGTACGTACATACATATGCGGGATGTTTCCTTTTGCCAAGCCACCAATTGGGTTGATACTACATACTTGCATTTGCATACATATTTCCATAACCCCCAAAAAGAACGGGTTTGAAATGTGGATCCATGACATGTCCAACAGGTGGAGCCCCAAACATTAATTATAGAAAAAATAATTAATTATGGAAAAACCGGTCAATCTGCCCTAGCCCCCTGATTTCACAGGAAAAATCAATTATGGAAATAATGGCCACCTCCAAATATTATGGAAAAAAAAGGTTCGGATCACTTCCGGGATATTTTGAACCCTTATGGGGAAAAATCCAATTATGGAAAAATCGGACGCAGGCGCCGCCTGTCTAAGTTTAACGTTTTTTTTTCCATAATTCTGTCGGTGACCATAATGGTCTGATTCTCAGGAAGAAACATTTGAGAATCATGACGTGAACCATTGACAGAAGAACGGGCGCTTGAAACCACAGTGAAACCCTCACTTGAGCTTGGGTTTGAAAAATTGGAAGGCCATTTTAGCAGTGGAGCAACTTTCTGCTTCTGCTCTAACCTTGGAAGGCCTGCAGTTGTTTCACAGTGACAACTCAAGTTTCCGGTCTTGGTAAACTCCTGGTCATATCACCAGATTCGAACGTTCCCATCTCAGCTTCAAGTTTCAACACTTCTGAGTCCTCCACATCCAGTTGCTCCTTTTGCGCCAAGGTCATCCAAGATGCAAGATCTACGTTGCTTGCTGGGAAATGCAGGCAAATCTGCCCGTCAAGTTGACTATGGTACCTCTGCATGTGTGGCTAGGAGAGTTAACTGTTGGACTTTGGACATCCACTGATGGTATCAATGCGGAAGTTGAAAATTGGTACCCAAGCACGTCGAATATATAGACTGATATGCTGATTTCAGATCCCCAGAGAACATACAGTCAGAGGCTGAGCCAACAAAATGCCAACAGTGCCTTGTGGCTTCTCGAAGGCAAAGGCACCTCACCCACCCAAAAGCTGAGAAGCACCTCCATCCGAACTCGCAGCTTCTGTAGCTCCTTCCCGGGTCGCTATGGCATGCTATGGCTGGGTAGCAGGTTGCGAAATCAGGACGAGCCTCGTATCTCACCACCCAGACACCAACATCCCGGTAAAACCCGGTTTACTCATTCAGCCATTAGCTAACCATGGCTGAACCCATTGACAATTTCATACCCTTCAAAAAGCTTGAAATTTCACCTGGATACCAGCGATTCTTTAGTTTAATATCGTTTGTCTATCTATCTATCTATCTATCTATCTATATATATATATCATACATTACCCCCCACAAACTATCAATACCCAACCATCCCAACCATTCACCACCCTGTAAGGCATCCATCAACCATTCGAATCACAAACCAACCCTTCTCCACAGTCCTCCTTGAGAGGGGACAGCTCAGATTGGACACCACCTCAAAAGCGATGGCTGGAAATTAATTTACCGTGTGAGGAAATCTGACATGGCTAATGCAGCTATGGCCCATTTGTAGATGGTTTAACTATAAAGAATGATCTGGTTTGGTGGTTTAAACAGCTATGTTCGATTACTAGAGGGGATGGGTTAGTTTGACGCAGGAGATTTCCTGCAGATTCCCCCTTGGGTGCTGGGAGGTGACGAATCCCAGAAAGCGGACCTGGGTCGCCTGGGTCGGAGGCCCGCTAATCATGGGTTGACAAACTAAAGCTATAGCAGCTACAACAAAATGGTCTTGAACCATATGCCAAATAAGTGGGTGTGATCACAATCCCACACTATTCGATTCCCTAGATTCTGAGCACCTAAAATGTGTTTAGATCCGAACAGATCCAATGCTAATCCTAGAGCTTGGGGTGCAACTCATGATTGCCATTTTAATGGCGAAATGATGATATATACCTGTACAAATATAATATATAATTACTCCATTTTTTGAATATATATATATATATATGATGTATAGTTAGGATAAAACTATATGGAGGATTAAACAAACAGAAACGGTTCAGATAGCCAATGATGATAAATTGATAAATGAGATCCGTTTCTTGGGAGATCAATGCGGGGGGCCCCCACTCAAGGTCCAACTTGCATCCCTCCATCATCTTGTGGAAGCTTGGGGCATCACCCAACGGAGTGATTTACGGTGAGTCTTTGAAAATTGAAGCTGCAAGCCCGAAATATCTAGAACTACACTTTACAAACCAATTCCGAGCCCCTTATAAGTTGGTTTATACGCCATTAAAACCACCATTAACTATAAGTTATATCTACCATAAACCATAGAATTCAACCACTTATTTTGGACCACGAAGCTTTTACCGGCCATGGCTAAGACACATCCACACAGCACCAGTGTTCAAGTTCCCCAGGAGTCTGATGCAATTCAGCACATTGGAGACATGAAAAAAAGGTACATACTCAACAAACAACACACGCGTGTATATATATATATATCTATCTTTGTTGAGTATGTAATACTAAATGTGCGAA